TATGTATGACTAATGTAATAAAATTACCTCCATAATTGTGGCCCATTCTTCACCAAATTAGAGAACCTTTGCAAATGAAAAATTAAATCATTAGTATAAACACCAAAAACATATATATAAGATAATAGAAACTAAAGAGAAATTTACATAATCAAATAATTAAGGAAATTGAAAGTAAAAGAGAGATGAAAATAAAGCAAGGAAGTAGTAATATTTAGGAGAAAAAATTGTGAAAAATGCGAATTAAATTTGAAGAAAAAGACTAAAGATGAGGATTGATCAACAAGTAGTAGAAAAAGAAAGATGAACACATGAAGATATAATGAAAATTCAAAAAATATTGCAAAAAATGAAGAGGAATAAAGGGTAAAGAAATGTGTTGAAGATGTTAGAGAAGAAGGAAATGAAAGAGATGTTAGAGAATTGATGAAAACAGTCTGCCATCTTGTATATAAATTAGCCAGTAATATTTTGGATAGTCATACTGACCGAAACAAAAAGGGCAGAAATTTCAAACATTTTCCATCAAAAAAATTTAATGGTTGCGTGGGATTGAAACATTTTAGAAATTATTTCGGTCAAATATTTTGACCGAATTATATGTAAAGGGAAATTCAAAGTTTTCCCCAAATTTTCTGGCAAAGATAAAGGGTTTTTTTTTTTTTTTGGGTAGCTTGTTTCAGTCTTGCAACTTGACCGAAATAATGCTTTTCATAGTTCAGTCAAGTAGCTTGACTGAATAAAAGATGAATTGTTTTTTGGAATTTTCTTTAGAATGACATACTAGTTTCCTTTTTCTTATTTAATTTGTTTCAAAATGTTTGATCTAAAATTTATAAGTAATATAATATAAAATTTCTATCAATTAATTAGCAATATGTTCTAAACATATATTAAAACATGTAACTGAAAATTTTATCTCGAAACACATAAATATGAAAACATAACCTAATATTATAATTAAAGTGTCATGACCTAAAATACTAATTAAAGCACTATGTTCTACTCTCAGACATGTCAATGCATATATAATAGTAGAAGATATTTTTGATATAAAGATCAATTGAAGACAAGGCCAATTATGCTGATCAATTGATGTTTTTAATATATCTATACAATTTTTAATTCCCTTACTTAATCTTAATTAGAGATTTAATATAATTATAATTACCATAATAAAATTACTTTATAAATACCATAATAAAATTACTTAAAGTTTCCACAATTCATTATAAATTAAGTTAAAACCCCATCTTGGTCCCTAAACTATTGTCCGGACCCCCAATTTGGTCCCTAAACTAAAAAAATCCTTGATTTGGTCCCTACTGTTTACCATTTTAACCCCGATTTGGTCCTTCCATTAAATATCTGCCTATGTGTCCCGTTACTTGACGGGAAAAAGATGACATGTTAAAGCATTTTGACACCTAGGATGTACAGCGTGGCAAAAAAATGAGATGGCAAGAAAATACCTTTAAAAAATTTCTTTTTCATTTTTTTTTCTTTCTTTGTTTTTCTTTTTTCCCTTTCTTCTTCCTCTTCCTTTCCTTTCACCTTTTGCAAACCCTAACATCTCCTAATATTAAATCCGAGAATAACACAACAAATCAATAGATCGAAATCAATAGATCCTTCGATCCAACTACAGCTACGTTGGAAACAAAACCCAACGCTTGTTGGGTTTGATCACCTGTTGGGTTCGAAATCGAATCTAGCACCTACAAGAATCTGAGGATAACACAACAAATAACAAATCCATAAATAGATTGAACTCAACAAATCCATTGACCGAAAGGTTGTTGAGCTTGAAACAGAACCCAACAGACAACAGATCGATAAACAAATGGAACTTAACAGATCCATTGACCCAATGGTTGCTGGGTTCAAAATGGAACCCAGTGCCTACTGGGTTCGAAATCGAACCCAGCACCTACAAGAACCCAGTGACTGCTGGGTTCAATGTCGAGTTCGATGCTAGGTTTGATCTTTCGAACCTAGCACATATGCCTTCTTCATCTTCATCCACTTGCAAAAACCCAACGGCTGCCTTGCCTTCTTCATCTTCATCAATCAATTTCTCATATCATCAAACAACAA